AATCATTCGAGGAATCGTTTCAGCCCTAATTGGTTGTGAAAAGGCTCTCGGTGTGAGCTTAGATGAAGTTCTCCAAAGTTCTCTCAAGACATAGCCCAAGTGCGTCAACAATAAATCGCTTTCGAAAACAATATTGTTAAAGTCTGTCTCGAGTGTGTATCATCTCCTTATTTAGTCCTTGAGGCCCTTGAACTGTCTGGTCAACAGGAATGCGTAGGGTAGGAAAAGACATCAAGCTGGAGGACTTAATTGGTCCATAGGGGGCTTTGCTCCGAACAGTGCACAGTTGAGGGGAGGGAAGTGTGCATTGACAGAACAAACGCAAGTGGGTCAAGGAGAAAAGACCCAGGATATGCCAATAAAACAGAACATTCCTATGATGGGAGCAGTCAGAAAGGAGGTTTGTTAGAAAAGGAGAAGAGATGACAGACAGGTGGAGGAAGTGAGACAGAGCTTGTCTGAAAAGGCTGCAGAATAGAGGTTGGGTGGAAGATTGAGAGATAGGGTTGAAATGAAAGCAGCTGTAAAGGAAACTGGGGATGCGGGGAGAAGGGGTTTAAATGAAAATGGATTGAATGGGGACAAGAAGGGAGAAACAAAAGAGGAAAAAATGAGCGATGGTAATCGATGGGATGTGTACGGGGCTTCGGCTGATGAGAGCAGGAGGAGGAAGGAAAGGCCTTTCATGTACCCCCTTTTTTCCACCGCGATCAGAGAATGAATTATAGTCGTGGCAGAGAGCGAGGGGGGGAGATATTAACCTGACACTCATCCTGAATTCAGATTCGGCTCCTCGCTATCATTCGCTCACAAACTGCCGTTGTCGCGCTCGCTTTCAAAGACAGAGGAGCAGAGTTCATTTGTAAAGACCTCACCTTGTCAAGTCCGTCTCCATCTACAAGAGGGAGGCCTTAAGACGACATTGGAAAATGGATTTCACACTGAAAGTTAAACACCTTAAATGGCACCAGTTGTGGGAGGATCTTATATAAACCAATGGGATCATTTTTTTAGATTCCCAATGAGTTCAGTCAAAGTTCGGCATACCGCTACGAACACCGCTTTCTGCTTTCTCAACATGACGGCTTACTCCATTTCTACCAGATCGTGCATAATAATGAATAAGGCTTATACTGCATACAGACACCCACCACTTTTTTTTATAATTCATCAGCCACTGGGACGTGTGACTGACTGCATAAAATCAAAGTCATCCCTGCGACGTGGGCGTGAGTCACTCCGTAAGTCCCCTTGATCATTTCAGGCCTGCGGCTTGGGGCTTTGCTGAGACCGGCACTAGTTTCAATTAATTTTCATCTGGGTGTCCTTGTCTGTATTGTTTGCATCAAACAAGAGATGCTGCAAAGAAGGGCAGGCGAGATGCTGCTTTTTCTCTATCACTACTGGCACTGCCTTTGCCTCCCCTCTTTAGGGTTTCAGGACGAGTCGGTTCAGTCACGGAAAACGTCACGAGGAGAAGAGCAGTAATGAAGTGCTGCTGGCTAGTAGTTCATCAGATTATTGCATCTCTGCTGAGAAGTGATTGTGTTGAATTCCAGTAAAACAATTATCTTTCTTTAAAAAAAAGAAGATATTTTTTGGTGAAATATTGCCAACTGGCAAAGTGCAAGTTTTGGTTGTAAACAAATTGATCTACATCAGTTTAAGTCATTAAATTTCTATGAACTCCCTATATTTTAGATGCATTAGCAAATTTTAATAAATTTTTTTTCAAGTATGTAGTAAGTTAAAGCTAAGTGAGAAGCCTTAAAGCAAAAAGGCAACAAAAGAACACCGAGTATTTTTAGATATATCGTCTAACTGCAAATTTAATATTTTATGAGAGGCCATACTTCTGATTTACTCCCCTAAGTATCTGTTTTAAAGGTCTTATTTCTACACTATGTGTGCCTTTTCAATCTTTTATACATTTTAGTGTCAGAATAAAATTTTGACTCTCTCTCCCACTTAGTGCACTGGTTTTGTAAAACAGATCTATGAAACAATATCGAAGTAGCCACAATTTGTCGAGAGGGAGCAGTACGGTGAGGGGAAGAAAGCACCGCAGTCAACACAACAGCATAATGGACTCCTGAGATAAAGAGCAACATTTTTCACATAAACAAAATCCCAGACTCTCCATAAGTATCGCACAGTGCAAGTCGATGTTTGAAGCGTGTGAAAAGTAGCGGCTTTTATTCTGGAATTTACAGATCGTGTTTGATACACACAAATTGTTGCAGCTAAAAAAAAAATCAATCAAGTTGATCAGATCTACTCCAACTTCCTGTAGATGCTTTCAGACAAATCCAACACAGGGTTTATACAGGAATCCCAGAGTTGAATTTACTACTTTTTTACTACCGCTACAATATTTTTACTGCCAACACAAAATCCAACCAATTTCGCGGCAATTTTCTCAATCTTGGGAGTTCGGTGATCGCTCGATATTTACGTGAAAAGTCTCTGATCTTTTCTACTTCAGCAAAGGTCTAAAAATCAGCCACTTTCCTCTTCTGCTCAGCAGTGAGAGGTTTGACTGATAGACCAGCCTACCAGATCATGTCTGCATGCTGCAGTTATCAATAGTGACCCCACTGTTACCAACTAAGACACTTTCTTCCTATATTTTAGCGACATTTCAATCTAAAAAATGGCACTGGCTAAAATCAGCAGGTCAAACTTTTTATAGATTGATAATCTACGATATGTGAGAAAGCCGCAGTTGGTGCACTGACGGCTCATGTAAGGCTAAACTTTATCCCACTTACTGGAAAGTCTAACTGTGACTTTATCTTGACCAAAACCTTGCATGTTAAGAACAGGAACCACTATTTTTAGTGCTTATCCTAAATCCATAAGACTGAGGATATTTGGGTATTTTTTTAAGAATATCAATAAAATGCAAAGACATTCCAATTTCACAAGCCAATGTTTTATTCTCTATAGAATATTAATTTCCTACTAATTGTCAACACTAGGACAACTCAAGGTTCAAGGGTATCATGTTTCACAGGTGACCAACACACCAACTCTGTCGGATCATCGTTACAATTAGAGCAGCTGTTTAAATTAGCTAATCAACCACCGCTGTGCTCAGATGATCATTTTATAATCCCAAAATAACATGAAACTGTTGAGGACTAAATGTGTTGCACTTTTTGTGGGAAACGTTTACGGGTTTTATGGTGTCGAGTCCTCATAGTGGAGCCGTTTGTTGCTATGGCAACGAGTCCGAGTGTAGCTAGCCGACACGGAAAGTGGGGGGATACGAGTGGTTTTGAGTTGTTCTTCGACGGTTTTTCTGAGTTATTTTTCCCTTTGCTGTGGCGCACTGCTCTAAATTAAGGTTTCATTTAGTTAACGGAACATTTCTACAGCGGCAGCGCGACTGCGGATGGCAAGGTAAAGCATCGTCTTTTTGCCTTCGCGAAATTTCCGGATCTAAACAATAGCATGAAACGTGTCGAAATGGTATCAGCTAATAATGAATCATAAAAGTGGTACGTAAAAGTTCTACCACTTTTCCTACAACTGCAGTGGAATTTTCATTTTTGAGTATGTTCACACTGCAACCTGTGAGCGGTGCAGTTGGAGTTAACTTACTGTAGTTGCTGCGGTGTTCAGAGCAGCTCAGCTCTGAGCGCTGGCTTTAGAGTCAGCAAGGTCCTCTGCCTTTTCTGCAGCTCCCGTCGCGTCGCTGGTAAAAAAAACTTTAGCTCGTAGCTGAGCTTGAGTTTGCAGTTGCATCTCTTCGTTTAGCACCAAAAAAACGAAACGGGGAACTGCTCCACGGTGGCGCCTCAACCCGCGCAGGAATCTGCTGCTGATGAATGGCGGATGCTCCGCTCGGTCTGATTTGATCACCGTTCCAGGTCAAATTTAGATTTTATTTTTGTTCCTGCATACTTTACAAAATGCCTTTCAGTCATCTCTAGTCTTTGAATCTCGGAAAATCGAGCCAAAGTTGTGAAACTTATATTTTCCCATGGCGAAGCGCAAAATGACTAGCTAGTCTCAACACATTAGGCGGTTCCAACACTACGCATGCGCACAGCAACTTGAAGTCTGTCAGTGACAGCTCAGGTCCTGGCAGTACCGTAGTAAGTTTTTTTATACAGATTTTAGTAAAACGAACTTAAAACAGTAAGTGAGCATCAATGGCAAATTACAAATATTTTGAAGGAATGATAAAAAAAAAAAATACTACTCTTTACTACCGTTAGTTACTGGCCTGCATTTGTACTACTTTTTACTGGCCTTAATTTGAGCTAATTTAATTTATTACCTTTTACTACCTTTTACCACCGCAAAAAATACGTTTTTTCTTCCACAACCGCTTTACATTGTATCCCCTCTGTATGAGATTAATATGTACATCTGTTTGAATAACTACTGGTGACCTCCAAGCCTAATTTGTTTTTTTGGATTTGCCATTATGTGATGACTTAGAAGAGGTTCAATTTGTTCCAAGTTATTACAAGCCATGTATTGTGAAGACCACACATTGATAGACCCTCTGTGCTGTAAATGAATTACAAGTGCCTACTCCCACCTGAATTTCATTCCATTGATTGTAAACACCTGACTCTAATTCCACCTTCAAGTTGCTGCTAATCATAGACACTCTACTACTTGTGCCACAAAGTGCCGGTTCCGTCTCCTATTGTGCAAGGAATCTTTAGCTCCGAATGACTCGGCACAGGCAGGAGCTACGCGAACCGCCTGACATTGATTGTAACAACACAAAACCAACCGCACATGTCTGAAAGGAGGAAAATAATGAGAAGGGAAAGAGGGACGGTAGACAAACATATCTGTGTAAGAGCATACATGCGGTACATTCAGATTGAACACACACGCTTCACTCCAAGCCGGTCGGTGAGCCAGCCAACAAGCTAGCTAGCTAACAAACCAGGGGAGTGCGTGGGCTGTCATCCCTATGTTTCTGCAGCTCCACAAGCATAAATTAAGCCCCTGGGAGAGACTGAGAACCAGATACAGAGGGATAAAGAGTGGGAGAGAGCGCGAGAAGAAACCAAGGGAGCAAGTAAGAGAGTCAGAGATGAAGAAGGGGAAGAGACAAGGCCTAGAGACAAGGCAGAAGCCCCAAAGACTGAACACGAGAAAGAGTGGGAGGCAGCAACCCGCTCTCAATTCCCCTCTAAAACCTCTGCCAACTGTGCAGCTGAGGGCTTTCATCATCTCTATTTTTTTTCTCTCTCTTTCTCTCTCTCTCTTTTTTGTGGGGCCATTTTCCAACTCTAAATGCATCACATCATCGACCAGGGGTGCTAAAGAAACTACCCAGAATAATTTGGATCACTTATAAGGTTTTTGAGTCACAAGCAATCCTTTATTCAATTTTACACCAAATCAATGAATTCCTTTACCTCCAGCTTGTCTGTCGTAGAAAGATTAACCCTGAAGTCAAGACTTGCAACATAAATGAAAGGGCAAAACGTTAGCTGTCAGTTACAGGAGAATGGCAGTCCATAATTGACCTCAGTAGGGAAACGCGTTACTTCTTACATTGTCCTCTGAAAGTGACCTCCAACAGTGTTTTGCTGTTGTCAGAGTAGATGTCATCCATCATTCAGCCATCAGAGAAGAGACAGTGACAAGTTGTACTATGGTTTTCTCTCTTTATCACGCTTAGTCTTGTTCCTTTTTCTGCCAATGAGACTGAATCTATTACATGTTTTGGGTTTTGAAGACTTAGTTAAGAAATTGAGTCAATTAGACCCTGTGTGTGGTCTGACAGGGGTCCCACTGACCCTGCGTGTCCTTTCACAAGTTTTTTTTTTTTTTTTTAATGTGTAGTTTCGGGAACTGACGGCCTGAAGGGAAAACGCCCCGCTGCCCGGTTGCGACATATGCCGTGCTCCTCCTGCATATTGTTGTAAGACCTCTGGATGGCCCGTGTACTTTCACCTTCAGATAGAAGGAAATTGATTAAAATTTTCAGGAAAATTACTTCAGTCTTGACTAAGAAAAGAAGAAAAATGAGCCATGAAATCTTCATGAAACGTCTTGTGCTCAAATTAAACATGGTGGGTGTAGTCTAGCCTAAAAGATTTATGAAGTCATTGGAACAGTCAGGGTTTAACCTAAGAATTGTTAACCATCGTGTTGCTAGCATTATGTTGTGGAACCGTTTCACTAGTGGTGTAAATACAAAGCGGTAATATAATTAGATGTTCATAATTCCAAACAATCAAAATTTGATACCAGGTACCAGCTCAATAAGCCTCATCAACTTACAAGTACAAGGAGCAGAAAGACTTTTTGCAAGACATGGTAAGAAAGGAATGAATCAGGATTGGCCCATTTCCTGATTCAAACAGAGATATATCATCCTGGTATTTTTCCAGATATGTGTCTGTTGATGGCAAGAAGTCTGATGGTGGATTCTGGTATCAATAAAAGCCGAGGTCCAAGAGAACAACTCTGCCTTTGGGAAAAAATAAATCACTCCATCTCATATCTGACAACAAACTGCCTTGGGTGCTACACGGCACCGGCTCAGAGATGGTCTTAAACTTAATTTATCCTCAGATGGATTCTTATAGCACTGAGCAGATGGTCCCAGTACCTTATATATGATGTTTTCGCCACATCCAACCAAGAGATATAAAATATTGAGAAGGCCATAAGATGATACACCTGTCAAATTATTTCAATAGGGATATGTGTTGGTGGGTTTTTGTATGTTTCTTTTCACTGGGATTGAGGGACTGGGGCCAGTCTTCTATCTTGCTGCGACTCGCTATCCCCGCAGGCCCTCTCATGTTGCTTGCATTTGTCGAAACGGAATCAGCGGCCGTCTCAGCTCACCAGACCACCGGACCAGTAACCGCAGTGGCGGTCGGTCGAGCCATTTCCCCGTCGTTTCTGAGTAATCTTCTGAAACAAGAAAGTGCTTCGGCCGAGACGAGACCGGGGAAAGATTAGGAGGCGGTTAAAGCAAGTAATGACACAAATAGAAAAAAATATCTGTGCCTGGCAAATGTAACGCCCAACAGAAAGGTTAACAGAGGCCGGGAACGCAGCATCAAACATGAAAACTTGGCTCTCGGCGTTGTTATTCTCCTTCCCACTGCTGGCGTCTGATTCTCTGAATCACCATGAGCATCTCCTCTCAGAGCATAGTTGTTTCAACCACTGCGTGTTTTTTGGAGGACTTCCCAAACGCAGAGTGACTCAAAACACAAGATTGCTTGATAGGGAGTGCTGGGAAAAAGCCAGATTTTCTTTTTTTTTTTTTTTTTTTTATGTAGCTGCCATTCAGAAAGATAAAAAAACACCAGATACAATGTGTAGGACTTGCGGCTGCGTGGCTCAGCCGGTACAAACGGAGGCGCAGATGCTCCTGTGAAGATCCTGTGGTCAGAACAGTGAACCTGGTCAGTCTCATTGGACTTGACATGGCACAGCACTTACCCTCTCATCAAGCGTGGGTGATTGAGTGGACGTAATATGTAACGCTTTGTGTCTGTGAGAGTAAACAAAATGTTTTGTTTCTGTCGGAGTGAACAATGTGAATCCGCAGTCTTGACGTGTGATAAACGTGATGCTACATGCTGGATATTGGTCTTTTAGACTTTAAATATTTCAACTCAAGCCTTAGTTACAAAGAAAATTATATTATTTTAATTTTGTCAATCAACCATTGAATAAGGGTGATGGAAATTGCTAAATAAAAAAATAATTCCTCAATTTTGCAACAAAAAAAAAAAAAGTTCACTCCAGGTGCTTTCTGGTGAAATTATGCAAATTAAGCCTAATTTGCATTTTTCTTTTGCAACATTTTAAAAATTTTGCTCAAAATTCACTTGACAATTGGATTGAAACATGGCTAATGAGTATCTTTTTCATAACATGACTTAAATTTCTTACCTGAGCCCACATGTCTGTCCACTAGTTGTCTTTCCATCTTTACACATTAACAAGTTCATTTGTTGAAGAGTAGCAAATTGCTCAAATTTCCATTAATAGAGGAGGTCACACTAGCTGATATTTAATCATTCAACAGTATATTTTATGCATTTTGTTGTTACATTTTGGTTTAATTTGTTGGGTAGCTTTCCGATTCTCTGTACGGAAATTGAAAGAGAGTGAACCTTCTTTCAATCATGGCTGCAAATATCGAATTTGCATATCTGAAAGGCACTTTAATCAGTCCAAACTGTAACACTGTTCCACCCTGCTCCTGTTGCTGTTTGCAATCACTCGCTTCATCTTGTGTAATACATGTTTTCCCTTTTAACCACAGCAGATTTATCTGCAGCAGAGCCGCAGCCCAAACCCCTTCCAGCTCCGGGCTGCCGCCGCTTTGCTAACTGGAATTCCAGCGTTGCGAACACAAAGCAAGATAAAACCTCTTAATCTGCTGTCACTACCGCTCAAAATGTGCAGGCATGTGTGTGTGAGTGTGTGGCCGAAGCGACTGCTTTAGTGTTCTTTGTACGAGAGCGGGCTTGGATGCCCAGGGCATCTGTTGACCCAGCTGGCATTTGCTGAGCGGTTGTAGGCCGCCAGGTTTAAGGACAACATTTATCCAGCATGCATTTGTATTTCCCACTCGTGTGTATGCAAAAAAAAACAAAAAAAAACACAAAAAAAGATGGACGCATTGCAGTTGATGCTGTTGTGTGTGGGTGTGTGTTTCTGAACTCTGGGGGTGAGGTCAAGGGTAACATTTCCAGTTTTTCCTCTTAATTTCAGCGAGGAACGTTGAAATAAAAAACATCCGAATATTGCTGAAAGTTATTTAACGGCTAAAAGCTCTTGGCAAGTGAAAATAGCCAAGAAACAAATCCCAGCATGACAAACCGTGCACAAATTGCACAGAAACATTTTCTCTGAAATTACCGCCTTTTCTATCCACATGAATTGTGTGTAGCAAACCTCTGTTGCCTCATCTCTTGTGCACAAGTGCCACACCGGCTGCCTTTTTAGCCGGGGGTGCAAAGTAACAATTCCCTCGCTGTTCCCGTCATATTTAGTTTTGGATGGAAAAAAAAAAAGTTGAAGAACATGCTTTTGTTTTGATTTAACAATGAAAGTTTTGCAGGCGTTAGGAGGAAAGAAAAGGGAGATATCTTGAAAAGCAGTAGCAGCTTTGACAGAGAGCGTCTTCTGCAGGATGCAGCTACAGCTTCTTATAACAAGGAGGAAAAGTCAATGCACAGGAATAAAAAAATTGCACGTATACAGATTTTCATCCTCTTAAGGCTTTGCACACATCAGGATGTAACTGATAATATAAAAGTCGCCACCGAAACAATTTAAAAAAACGGGTCTAGCATCCTAGCATTTTGCTGGACCCCTTTTAGAGTTGATGACGGCGCCTGTAAACTTCTGCAATGTCTCAATGTCAAATCCCAAAAGACTCAATGGGGTTAAAGTCCAGACACTGGTGTGAAAATTAAAGCCATTTTCTCCAGTATGCCTCACTAGCGGCATTACCATGACAAATGTGCACAAAATTGTTTTAAATATTGTGCTGACAAAAGCTATTTCGCATGTTTACGTGATAGCTCACTCATCCAAAATCATAGATGACATGACATATATTTCTATTTCAGCCACAGCATGTCGGAGTCTTAGTGAAGCGTTGGATTGATGAGCTCCTCATACTCAGGATTGGCTGCATATGAATGTCTTTTCTGTGCTCCATGAAAGCCTGAAAACAAGCAGCATTTTAGGAATGATTTCTTTCAAGAATCATTGAATCCTCGTTGCCTTAAAAAAAAATCACTTTCTAATCAGGCCGTAATTGAAGGTCCATTACATCTGCTATAACAAACAATAATGTCATTTTACACAGTCCTTCTGCTTTATGGCGTAGAAGTAAAGACATAATAAATAAGATGCGCTGTGGTTCATCTGAGGTTAATTGAAAACTGGAAAGAATTAGAGTGTTTTTAATCACACCGCGATAAAGCTCCAGAATGGAATAAACAAATCTCTCCGCGCCCTCGCGCCGGTCGTGTCTTATCAATCGGCTGTCAAAGAACGACTAAAGAGAAAGAAATCAACACATCCATTCGCACCGACGTGTTTTGCAAACAGCATGCTTGGTAAAAGTGAAAAAGGAAAAAGCTTGAAAGCTGCTTTCCATTTTTGACGACTTTTCCACCGTTCGGTTCGCGGTTCGGCGTGGAAGATTTTATTGTGAACAGAAGATTTGGCTTGCCGTTCTTTTCTTTAAGGCGCCGTTTGAGCGTCAAGGAAGCTTTGTCATGTAAGGTTAGTCATGGTGTTTTCTTCTCTTGCTGCTCGCAGCTCCCGACGTACATCTAAAATGCCCGTTCTCCTCAAACTACAACTGAATGTTTATCCGAGCACCTGTTTGACTCCACAGCTAAACATAAAGACGTCGGTGTCTGTAAGCCCTCTATAAACCCAGACTCAAGCTCACATTTGAGGATTTTCTGCACATATGGCTGGTAGTCTATATGTTGTTGTCGGTATGTGGCGACGGCAAGGAAACAGTTTGGTTTAAAAAAAAAAAAACACCGAATCATGTAAAATCAACTTTCTTGAGCTTCACATCATCCTGTTATGTTATCAAAATGTTACAAGAGGATCCAAAAGAGAAGCATTTATTTTTTCCCATTTGCCGCGCAATTGTGGATGCAGAGTCACCGGACGAATTTCAGAGAGTTTTTTTTTTTTTTCTTTCAAACAAATCGTGGCAGCACAGCTGCCGAGCTCATGATGAGACTGATAGAATCGGTCTGCAGAGGGGACAGCAACTTTTCAGATCTGAATCAAATCACTCACAGTTTGCTGACTCGGCGGAAAAAGACTTAGGAGGGGATTTTTTTTTTTTAATCCTTTATCAGTTAGTATAAAACCTGAACGGACAGCTGCGGTTTGTTTATGTTGTTTTGCCGGAAAATACTGTTTTAATATGTGGAAATAGTTTGGCTGTTCACTGTAAATACTCAGTGTAGTGATTCTGCTCCTTTTTGAGAGAGAACCAGTTTCTGTATGTGGTCCAAAGAGTTAAAGAACAATGCAAATGAGTTTGTCTGTGCATTTTTACAAATGTTTTGAGCTATTTTGGAGGAATGTCAAGAGCATAAAAAAAATGTGTGAGTTGCAATGGAAAATAGCTACATTTTTTTTTCACCTCCAAAACCTGATAATGTGCGATTCAAAGTGACTCTGGCCACTTGCCGAATGCTAATTGGCCTGAGGACACAGTTTGGACACCAAACACGGAGGTTCACGGTGTCTTGATTTGGAAACGTTGCATTTAGATATCTCGTAGGGATTCATTAGGCTTGCCATAATTATCATATCCGAGAGCTTTTTTTGTTGTTGTTAAACCTCTTCATTATGCTCCTTTTGGAAAACAAATGACTCATTTAAATAAAAGCAGCGTATCCTTGAAATGAAGCCGCTTTGATAACAAAAGAGCCGGCGAGTTTGTCACTGTAATTGCGGCACTTTGCTCTTCAGAAAAGTTTGAGTTAGTTTAGGTGGGTAATTATGTGCATTTGTATAGAAATTACCTGAAGTGCCATTTGAAAAATCACAGATAATGTGAGAGAGCTTCACAATAATTTCTGAAAAGTTGAGTTGAGACCCTTGGCCCTCGAATAGCCTTCCATCGATCGCTTTTTCTACAGCCAAATGAATGGACACATGGACAAGGTCAAACTGCAAATTACACTCAGAAATATCTTAACTATAATCCAAACAGTGCAGACAGACTGTGATATAAACACCGGGCAATGTTGCTCTCAACAACTAACACATTCAGTTCTAGTTTCAGTGGTAGACTTTATGTGCAGAGTCAAAATGTACAACACAATCCCACACTTTTTGGTGTGGCATTATACATTTTGCACTGTAAATATTCAAAAGTTGCGGTCAGAAGAAAATTGAAAAGCATCTTGACTAGAGCGCTAAAATGTCAATTTTGTCTTGAATTCAGTTGAAGCAAAGAATGTGACCTTTATTAAAGCAGTCAATTAAAAAAAAGACAACTTTGCTGTTTTGAGGTAATGTTATACTAAGTGAGGCTATATCCACTTTAATAAGATTATTTTTTAATGGTAAATTATGACAGTAAAAACCCAGAGAAACAAAAATTCACAATTTAAGTGATTTTTTTATATTTTATTTTTATATAATTCTCTTTTTGTTTCACGTTTTCCTGTTGCAGGTGTTAATCTTCTGGGAAACAATTCCTTTCGCTTCGCTCTTATCTTTGACTCGCAGCAGTCGCTGCCGGAAGCGCGTTAGTCTCGAAGGCAGCAAAGTCCTCGATCATCCCCAGCTATTCAACAGGAACTTCGCCATAACGCCGGAAATAATCGCCGCTTTATAAATCACTTGATTTCTCAGGTTTATATAAGGCATCATTATGTTAATTACACAACTGAAACTTGTGCAAAGGTGGTATATTAATAAAAGACAAGATCTCAGATATCTGTCATAATAAAAAAAAGGTCTTAAAACACATTCATGTGATACTGTAAAATTAAAAAGATGAACAAAATAACTTATTGCAACAGCAGGCAGTCAAGTGGCAGAGTTTCTATTTTCTCCTAAAGGAAAAGGTCACTCAAACAAGCTATATGTCATAAGCTTTAGGCAAAGAGAGACAAGCATTCAGATTTAAAAAGAAACCAATTATCTCCTCTTGTTCTTTTAAAAACCACTTTTGCTTTAGGTTACCATTGTCTTTATGATTTCTATGCCAAAACAAATGGGTGCATTTTTCTGTTGTGTCCAAAAAATTGAACAACAATGAAACAAAACCAATTAAAAAATATGAGACGCTGTAGCTTTCCTGTTCAACAGAATTATTTCCAGCCGAGTTAGATTTTCTGTTTCATGTGTGAAGAAAAAGGATGTCTTGGGTTTAATTTAGAAAATGTACTTTCGCAAAGAAGATTAATTTGAAAAATTGTGCGATGTATGTAGGTGTGCTGCTGTGTTCAGAGATTAGAAAAAGCATCTTAATTATAGGAAAATGCTGATTAATCCTAGAAGACAGGAAAGTTAGTGAGATTGTTCTTCCTCCCCAGCAGGTTTCAGTGGATTAAGTAATTATATTAACAGATCTTTGTTAAGAATAATGCTCATTAAGTGCAAAGAAAGAATATGGATCTTGTATAAAATTACAGAATAAAGTTAGTAAGACTGGAAGACGCACAAGAAAAAGTAATTTGCATTTTGTGGTTGAGAAGGAAATTGTCATTGCTCTCGTTGAGCATTTTTGAGATGCATTCTTTAGCGCATTTTCAATAAAACTGCTCAAGAAAATGTGGTTTTGCACCCAAAACTATTCAACCCTTCCATTTATTTGTCCAACTATTTGCATTTTCCACTGCATCCGAGGTTTAACCACAGATTGATCAATACTTCAACTTTTCAATGGCTGTTCTTTTGTTCGTTATCTTAAGGCTTTATCTAGTTTGCTACGTCCCACAGCAGAGACGAATCGTTAGGAGTTGTTCTTTGAAAAGAAAAGAAAAAAACAGATCAGGAGGATCAGGTTCTCTCTTGAGAACAGGAGCAACTCCATCAGATGCACATCCAGGTTTAAGCCTTTAACCGGTTTGAAATACTTTGCACCTTGCTGACTCAGCGGATTTTTGTCAAACAGGGCAACAGCTTAGACAAAAAACACCAAACTCAGTCAGTTTGTTGATATCCATGTTCAAGACGCTCAAATATTCTGTGCTCTTGCTTAAAAAGATGCTATCTGCAGTGAGAAAGCAGTTGCAGCCTCTTGCCACACTCAGACATTTCAGATTATTAAGCCATTTTTAATATTAAAGACGACCCAATGACTCACAAAAAGCAGTTTTCAAGCTGATTTCATAAACTAAGGGAAAATGCTACATAAACCAACTTAGCCCAATGTGATAAAAACGTCTCTCTATTAGTTAGTGACCTCAAGCACACTTTGGTTATGCACCAAAACACATCAGCAAGTTCAAATCTGAATAATAAAAAAAATCAAAATCAAGGTTTTGGAGTGACCTGGAAAAAGCCCAGACTTGATTCCAGTTGTCATTCATGTTTGGTAGCTGAATTATTGATAAAATGTTTTAAATAAGAGTCGGTCAGAACTATGCACCACACAATATTCGTTGCTCATTATCCCAAATGATTGATGGCAGTTTTCGTGTTCCAAGATTGAAACTAAATAATTACATTCAGGGTTCATTAACTTTTTCATATGAGGCCAAGTTGGTTTAAGTCACTTTTATTTTCCTTCATAAGCTAAATTATTATCTGAAAACTGCATTTTGTACAAACTCCGGTTATTTTTCTGACATTAAATTGCTTTTTTGTGTCATTAAAAATAAAATTGGTTGTGGGGTAGACACATTTTCACACTGCTATAATTTTCATATCAGTGGCTTTGGATTTTGGAAAGTTTTGCTTGTTGCTGCAGAATGACTCTCCTCTTCAGATGTGTTTCACAAATTACATTTCAATGAGATGTGACAATGTGAGAAAAAAAGAAAAGAAAAAATGCTTCACGACGGCTGAAGATGATTCCACAAAACATCAAGGCCGGTTCGGAATTGTCAAATCCTCGTCACGATGTCGTTCAGGTTCAATTACTCTTCTAATATAATGAAAATCACATTCATCTTCTTTTTTTCTTTTCTTTTTTTGTCTTGAATTTGTGCTGCCTTGGTTTCTGAGAGCCCTCATAACCACAGCAGGAACAAGGTGCCACTAACCCTCCGAAAAGAAATGACAATCTCAGTCGTTGGGTGGTTTATGTCTCCTCTGAGGCTGTTACCTTCAGAGGAGGAGGAGGGGGGAAAGCAGGCCGGTTCACCACCAAGCCTGTTGTTGCCAAGGGCTGATTATTCCTTTCATATAAATAGAAATTGCGGCGCTGAATATAAACCGTCACTATTTACACTCAGAATTACTTCAACACAACTCGTTCCGTTGTGGGTGTGCAACTCTACTTGCGAGAAAATGTCACAAAGGCCACAGCGTATCTAGACTCGGAGGGGTTATTAGCATCTTCAAAAGGTTTTACTGGGTCCCAGATGACATTTTAAAATGTCTGGCCGCCTTGCTGAGCTGTAGTTTTAAACCACGCCTAATTCCTTTACACATTGCTTTCAAAGATTTCTTGGAATCCTTTAATAAGGTCTTGGAGCAAATGTTCTACTGACGTTCAAAAGACAGTTTTCTTTGAACCTCCGGTGCTTTGGGACGCCATGCATCACCCTTCTGTTGATCCATTCTCTGCTAGTTTTATGCTTTGGCTATTTGGGAGTCTCGTAAGACGTTTCTCAAATAAAGTACGGAGCTTAAACTTTTCGCAGAAAGCGATGAACAGTAAACTGAAAATTGTTGATGAAAGACCTTCAGAAAGTCTAGAAAGCTATTGACCGAAGGAAGCCACATTCGAGGTCAACCGCCTTGTAAAGAGAGATATAAAGGAAAGGAAGGATGACTCAACAGTTTTGCAGCGTTGTGTTTAGTCAGAGCCAATTCGAATGCCTGACAGGCTCGTTCTACTTGAACAAATTGTACACATCCTTAATTTATGAGCGCAAACAAACCTCATTTTCTACTTCTCCCATCTGACCAACCTAATCAGATCAGGTTGAGGCCAGATAGTGCTTGAAACGTTGGTGAGGGATGGGCGTGCATGTGCCAGCAGGATCGAATCAATGGGTTAATCGATAAATGTAGGCGAGGGGGGAAGGGTTGAGGGCTGAAAGTAGAGTATTACTTAGAGCCCGAGGCAGATCGTTCAGTCATCTTGATTAAAGGCCCCCTCTTGGTGGTTAAGGCCAGGGGGCAATGAGTCGACACCAGATCTGGGTCACCTATGAGCAGAGATCCTTTTAATTACTCAGGGTATTTGCGCTTTAGTCAGCCTGCCAGATGCGGGAGTAGAAGCGAGGGTTGAAATATTTAATCTAAGTGGCTTTGCAGATCTTCCCAAGCACATGCAAGCTCTTAGAGTGGAATCGCTACATCGAACGCATGCAACTTTTACTGGAGGCACTTCTTTGATTGCTGCTTTGGCGCAGTGACTTCCAACCTGGAAGGGCTGCAGCCAGGTTGTTACGAAGCCAAATACACAACAACAACAGAGGACTGATTAGCCCCTCTGGAAATGAAGCCACCAAAAATGGGAATTGACTGAAGCTCCCAGCAGAATCCCATCAAGCACAAATGCATTTAATCTCCTAAGGTTTTCTTTTTTGCTTGCGAGATACGTTTACACTCTGAAAGTTACTGCAAGCTCAGTGATTTCGTGCCCATGTGTTCCTCTTTATGTATAAACTATTTTGTCTTAAAAGGGTAATAATCCTAAACCCCAAGACTGTTGCTCACAAAGAACTAATAAAAGCAAGCCACTGAGACTCATACACTTGACAAAAAAAAAGTAAATCAATGAAATAATAAAACTAATAATAATAATAAAAGTATCTGGCAATAACACAAAAAACTCCTTAGAGATAACGCAAGATTATCACCCCTACACACCCCCTGTGGGGTAATACCGACTGCAACAGTCGCAGGGGCTGCAGAGTTTGGAAGTGCAAGACTGCTGGCAGCTCTTCAGTGCAACACATGGGACTTTCATCAAAGCTCACTTCAAAAGCTAACACCCGGGCTTAAAATCTTTGGGGGATTTCAGACAAAACCTAAACAAGAGGTGACACGCTGAATGTGACCGGTGGGTGTCAGATAGAAGCCAGCCTCAGATTGAAAGAAAGGATAGTAAGTCTTTTCCCTTTTCTCTCTCTCTCTTGCAAAATAATGTTTTTGCTTGATTCGTGACACCAAACGTAATGAATATGCAAAAAGAAAAATTCCAAGGTGCCCTGCAATTGTTTGTGATCACATAATCCTGAAAAGAAGTGCAACACGAAGAAATAAGGCAGATGCTCCGAATGTAAAGCAATGCCATTAGGGGACATAATGTGCAAAATAAGCCAAACAAGACACAGGTTGCTTTCGCCCAACCATGGAGGCACACCTTGCCAAAACAGACCCCCTTCCCCACCCTTCCAAATATCCTCTGGGGGGAAAAACGCACTTTGACCGAATTCAAAAGCAAGACCTTCAAGATTTAACACCAAAGCTGGGTGTAACAAGGTGGTGCGGATGATGTTATCCCTGCTGGAAGTGTTGCGTCAACTGCCAGCTCCTCGAGGGGTGGGCGGAGGCGGAGGTGGAGGTGGAGGTGGAGGTGGTGCAGGGGAGGGGGGGTCCACATGCGCGATGGCGGGCCCTCTGGGCCACAACAGTGTCTGAGCGCCGTGTGCCCGGCATGTAAACGAGGCTGTTCGGCTCCGCTGTGTTCCCAACAACTATTATCCGGCGCATTAATGAATGGGCCCCACTGTTGTTCACTGACTCATCCAGGACTGCGGCAGCTGAGCACCTGACAGCCTCTAAATGTATTCAAGCAGAGGAAGTGGAAT